ACACCTGCAAGACCACACACACCTGCCCCTGGCATCTGACCCTCCCCATTGTCCACCTGCAGGACCACACATACCTACCCCTGGTCTGTGGTGTTACTCTACCATCACACACACCCAGGATGCACTGTCACTTTCCACCCTGGCCATGGAATTCATTGTCACCCCATGTGAGCAATTGTTCCTACCTAGTCCTTCTATCTGGTCCACTCCAATTTTTTCTCAGCTGCCCTCTGTGCTCTCCTGTCACTTGCTGTGGCCTAGCCCAGGCCTGCCACCTACTGCCCAATCAGCCTTTTCTTAGCTTGGCACAGGCCTCCCACCCCTGTTTGGAGTGCTCTCTTGGACACGCTCCCTGGCCTTCACTCATGCCCTCTTGATGACGCCTGTCCCTGGTGCCCATTGCCCCATCCTGAGAGCTGTGCACCCCAGTGGATGGCCGGCCCCCCAGCCAGGCGCCCGTGTGTCCACGCTCCACACCCGTGAGGGTGACTCCTGGGTGCCTGGCTGGCATTGCCCTCCCACGGGCCTTGTGGAATGAATACATGGGCACAGGTGGGTGCTCAGAGAATGCAGATCACGGGCAGCACAGCTGCAGATGTGAGTGATGCTGTTGGCTGGGCCATGGCAGAGGGCAAGGAGCCCTGGGGGAGCAGCTGTGTGCAGGCAAGATCACTGCCGCCAGATGGAGCTCAGGGCAGGGTGCTGCTGAGCCCTGTGGGGCCAGCCACACAGCTGCCATCGAGCAGAGGTCATGGGCCCAGTGTTGTGCCAGGCCTTAGTCTGTGCACGTTCTCCTGCCACACACTGTCCATTCTGGAGCCACAAAACAAGTCTCAGTGGAAGAGGTCTCTGTGGTGACCGCAGCAGAATGAGTGTCAGGTGGTCCTCACAGTGACCGTTCCAGGCCGTCGGCTGGTTCTTCCCTGCCAGTTTCCCACATGCTGGACCAGCAGTGTCGCACCTTTAGCCTGCTGTTCTGTCTCATCCCAAAGAAGCCGGAGAGTGAGTGGCAGAAGGTGGACTACATCCTGGAGTTCAGCCAGTGGCTCTGCTTCCATCAGTTTCCTCTCGAGGACGTGCTCCTCCACCTCAGCTGGGCCGTGGAGATCCTGATGCTCATGAAACCCACCAGGGGTGACTCGGAGCTGCAGCCTGAGTGGGAGCCTGGGCTGGAAGGTGAGGGCGCCACGCCTGTCCGCCCTCCCTGCCCACGCCTCCCTGCTCTCCCCTCGGGGTGCCAGGTCCTGGTGCAGCCGTGCCCAGTCCTCACTTGGGGAACTTGGCTTCGTGGTAAACACCAAGACCGTGCCCAGTGAAGGTCAGCTAGGAGATGGTCTGTGGGGGCAGGGGGGCCCTGACCACCGGTGACCATGCTCAGGGGAGGGGCAGGTGGCCTTGTCTCTCTGGGATCACAGACAGGCAGAGGTGCCATCCGCTCCTCGAGTCAGGAGGGCACCTCCTCTGCCCCACCATCCAGCCAGCTCCTGCCGGGCCTCTGGGTTCCTCCCCACGGGCTTCTAACTCCCAGGGCCCTGTCTGTGACGCGTGTGGGGGCCAAGGGGGGCTTTGGGTGAGGGAAGGTTTGCTGGGAGACACGGGGAGCCTTGCTCATAAACCCCACTGTCCGGGCACCAACCCAAGGACACTAGGGAACAGTTCCCTATGAGGAGTCCCAGGTCACCTTGCAGGCCTGCCATGACCCAACCTAAGCAGAAGGAGAGATGAGGCCCTAGACACATGTGCAGGGACACAGGTGCAGCCTACAGTCTCCCTGGTGCTGGCCTGGTCAGGGCCACTGGCCTAGTGGCCACAGGCCTGAGCCTGCTGTCAGAATGGGCAGTTCTTCTCAGAGACCCCAGGCCATGAGGGAAGTGGTCAGGACCGCAAGGAAAGCCGCAACTGTGGCTACCTGAAGGAGCCCTGAGTCCAGCCCAGGGATGCTTCCCCAGTGAGCTGAGATGCACAGCGCTGCTACAGGGAGAGGTGAAGGGTGGCAGGCCTCGGCCTCGACAGAGGGAGTGTCTTTCAGCAAGAGCAGCCCCAGGCCCAGGGCAGCTTGGCCCCAGGCTGTGTCCCAGGCAGCAGGCATGGGGTTGGCTGGCTCAGGCCGGGTTTTAGACACCTTCTGCTGCCTGCGACTTGCACAAGCCAGGGCCCCAGACCCCCACCCACCAGCCAGAGAAACCTCTGCAGCTGGCATATGGCCCTGCCTCGGCTAGCCTGACAGCAGACCCCAGGGCTGCAGGACACCAGCCAGGCACGGGAGTCAGGAGTCTCCTGCGTCTCCAGGCCCGTGAGAGGGTCAGGACACTGGGGAGCAGTCGGCTCTGATGAGCCTCCACAGGGGGGCGCCACCTGAGGGCCTGGTGGAGGGCAGGTTGCTGGGCAGGAGCCAGCGAGTAGGAGGCAGGAGAGGGGCGGCCCCTGGCCCACAGCACCCCATGTCTGGAGGTGCACTCAGCCCAGGCACCTTGTTTGCAGGGGAGTGCACCTCCATTCAGACCCCAGCAGAAGACGCTGCGACCCAGGAGGAGCTGGTCTCCTGGGAGCAGCCATGGAATGTGAAGCAGCTGGAAGCGCTGGCCCGCGTGCATATCCTGCGGGCGCTGATAGAGACCCCCAGCTCCACCCACTACCAGGACGACTGCCTCGCGGCCTACACCTTCCTCAGGCACATCTGGCAGGTGCTTGGCATGCGTTTCTGGGCCACAGTGCCGGCCATGCTTGCTGCTTCCTTGGGAATCTTCCTGGGACTCTCCAAAGGTCCTGGACAGGGCAGACCCCGCTCTGGTGACCCATGTCCGTCCCCTGAGAGACACCTTGCTGGCACTGTTCTGGCCTGGTGTGCTCCCTGGGCCCCTCTGAGCCAGCCCCTGCTGCTCCCCAAACCCACCCCAGCCCTGTTTGCCCAGCCTGTGCCCACAGTGTTCCATCTGAGGCCACCCACAGAGCAGCCTAGTCTTCCTGTCAATAGCTGTGTCTTCTGGAACCTTCTTCTGACCCCACCCCCAGCCATGAAGGGCCACCTCTGCCTTTCTCCTCCACGGCTCCCTGTGGGGACCAGAGGCAGCTCTGGCTGGTCTCCAGCCCTTGGGGACTGCCCACGTGTGACTGTCCCAGGCCCTGTGGGCAGTGTCCACCAGGACAGGCCAGCTTCCTGAGAACAAGTGACCCTAGAGCCCCCAGCAGGGTGGAGGAACAAGGGGGCCCCTCAGCTACAGGAAGGACTTTGGAGTCTACCTATCCCCAGCTCTCCAAGCCCAGCCTCCAGTGATGCCACCATCACCACACGTCTGCACTAAGGACCCATGGAGGGGAAAGGCCCCTCAAGGGCCAGCTGTGCCTTCCTTGCTGGCCACCCAAGTCCTATCTGGAATATGTGCCTCTGTCCCAGCAGCCCCTATCCATTGAGTGTCCTGGGGGAAGCCACCATTGCCCTGGCCCAGGCCTGGCCACCAGGAGGGAGATTCTGGGGGATGGCAAGATTTGTCCACAGGAAGCCTCAGTGTGAGGATGTCCGGCTGCACCTACAGTGGGGAAGTACCCCTGGGGGACACCCGTGTGCTCACAGGCCTGGGTCACATAGCCGTTGGGGGCCCAGCCCTCCCGGAGGCTCAGCTCTGCAGCGGCTCCCCAGCCTGACCCTAGCAGAGCAGCACCCTCAGAGCCAGGGCCCCTCCACCTGGGGCAGGGGGGTGGGCACAGCCCTGCTTCTAATACTGCCAACCTGGACTTTGTCTTTCCACAGGTTTCTTTGTTGACAGCCGGAAAATCATTTCTAGAAAATAGAATTCTAGTAGCAGCCAGTTCGTATATGTCATTGTCTAAAAAAGAGAAGGAGAAAGGAAAAGAGAAGGAGAAGGAGAAGGAGAAAGTCAAGGAGAAGGAGAAGGGGAAGGAGGAGAAGGAGAAGGAGAAGGGGAA